TTGTGTGTTTTAATTGAATTATATGCTTAGGTGGAAATTGAATGTTAAATTAAATGTATTGTTTTAATTTTTAAACGGAGTTGGGCTTGGATAGGATCAACGGACTTTTTGGATAGTGTAAATGGGTATTGTTTTTACCCATGGATGGATATACATGTATATATTGGTATATATGTATCTTGAGTTAGTTTAATTATTAGTAATTGTTAATAATTAAATTAGTTTCATTATTTTTATATATGTAATATAAAGTTTTAGGGTTTATATATATTCATTAAAATTGTCAACTTATATACATATATGTATTTTATATTTTATTTCTGTGTTTTCTTTACCGACTCCTCATATGAATATAATTAGGTTAAAACTATTTTTGCCTATATATATATATATATCGTATTGTGTCTGCTTAGGGTATAAAACACAAACCCTATTCACGAACAGTGAGGTTTGAGAGAAAACAGAGAGAACGAGTCAGGGTTTGGCTAAGAACAATGCTAAAGCGAGGAGGGGTATTGGAAGCTTGCTTGGGGGTTAAACCAGGAGCAATAAAGGAGTTGAGAATAGTCTTGGATTTGCCGAAAAATTTAGGAAGACGATGATGAGGTTTCAAAACTAAAATCAGAGGCAAATTCTTTTTCTTGCTCTTTTCCTTTGACCTGTGTTCTATGCATGCTTAGATAATCTCTAGAATTAAATCGGACTTTAAAAACGGTCATTGCATGCATGTTAATTTAGACTTTAAACTGTATATTATGTGTTGATTAATTGAAATTTAATTGTTGAATAAATTGTTTTATAGTCTGTTTAAATCTTGTAAGGATGTGTACTAAAACATAGGATTTTTCTGGATGATTTGGGACTTAGTCGGACCTCTAGGAACTTGAACTAATGATTTCAGAAGGTTTTTAACGTCATCGAAGACGAAGACGATGACAGGAAGCAGGGACAGAGCCGACTCCTGAGGGGAAAGAGTTGGTTCCTTTTATTTTTCAGCCCGCGGCTCTCTGTGAAAGAGAGAGCCAGCTCCATGGATTGAGGGAGCCGGCTCCCTTGTGTGGGAGCTTGCTCTCCACTTTTGAGAGCAAGCTCTCTTGCATAGTAACTTACTGGAATTTTTTTTAAGTACGATTTTGATATTTTTAGGGTTCCCGGACTGTTCTGGGTTATTATTAAGGATTTTAAACATTGTTTCATGTTATATTAAAACCCCATATGGCATAATTAATATCCCTAGGCTAGTGGATCGAACAGTATGGTAGTTTAAACAAGTTACATGCTTTTAACGAATGTAAAGAATTTAATTGCCTAGTTTTCTTCTAGCAATTTAAATGACTGGAACATGATTTTAAATATGTATTGGGTGCATAATATGGTCATATACATATTAGACTTTATTTATACTTATTTTGGAGTATCATTGATAAACTACTTATTTCTGTTTTATCAATTATTGGACTGTTTTGTGAATTTTAATTGATGTTTAAATTTATCATTTATTGCATCAATTATTGGATTTGTGAATTTATTTGATGTATTACTTTGGATGTTGCATCATTTATGAATTTTGTGGATTATATGCACCAGTATGGGACGGTGGCATATTAGAGATGGATTAGATTAAAACGTTAATTCCTACGTATTCATGCATAATGGAATGGATTTACCAAAAATGTAAATCCTATATATTTTCATGTCAGGTCAACTAAAACAGTTGAATAACATACCGGATATTTTTTTTATGTTCTGTACTAGGATTGATTATATATATATATATATATATATATATATATATATATATATATATATATATATAATTATGTTACCACGATATGAGCCTGAGTCTCAGTATCGATGGTTAAGGAGCGCATTTGCATTGGGATGCAAAGCTGGCTATGATGGTTTGATGTGTACCCTGCTAGGTCTAGGTACTCATGCCCATTCAGATGCGTTTTGCATGTTGCCTACTAGTCAGGTTGAAACTGCCTTGTAGTCCAGTGAGAGTCCTATAGTGTGTAGTTATACATATATGGACTATTTAGTTCTTGTTGACGAATCTAGGATGTATCTGCGTATCGGGTCTCTGTTGGATTGTAGTTAGAATAGAACTTGTTCATGGGCCTGACCCACTATTATTTTTTTAGGTATCGGACGATTCCAGTCTTAAAAATAATTATTTATTCTTAAATTATTTTGTACTCATGCTTATTTATATATTAATTGTTTGGTATCCCTCGGATCTGTGCTCGAACTTGATCACCCGTGGCTCTAGAATCGAGGGGTATCACACCAGCAGCCAATTTAAATCAACAAATGGGAGAGTTTAATCAGATATTTGCTCAAATGAGGGAGGAGATTAAAGTAATGATGGCTCAGATATCAGCTACCTAGAGTTGCCATAATCAAGCCGAAAGCTCGGCATCTCATAAATCAATTCTTCAATATATTTCTTTGCCATTGACACACATCCCTCAGGTGCAATAGACTACAGTGGCAGGGCTAGCCAGCCGAGTGTAACTGCTAGTTTACCCATCGGCAGATTGTCGATAATAACAAAAATACCATTGATGTCGATTGAGCCGAATGTAAAATCGGCAAAGGTTATTCTGCAATGCCCACCAGTTATGTCGATTCCCCCTCATAAAGAACAGCAAGAAATGTGGGAGATTGATCAGGAGATTAAAGAATTGATAGCTCAGCTTATCCGGGCCGAAGAAGCTCAAGGGCGTAAACGTGGTCAGCCTGTGTACAGGAAACCTTATCCTTACCAGGTGGTAAATCAGCATGTCACCCCTATATCACAACCTCTATTACATGAGGGGCTGTCGATAACCAGTACCAAAATTGGCTAGTCCTGTCGATCTCGTCAGGAAATTTTATCAAAAAATCAGCAGCAAAGTTTGCCAGAATATTATAAGTTACCAATTGTAAATCAGTCACAATGGATGATTTATCAACAACAAAGTTGGAAAAACTATTAGCCTGTTATTGATGAATGGAAGAGTACAAATCAGCTGAAAGTAAAGCGGCCTATGTACCAGAATTCTTTGCCGATTGTGACATCTAATAATCGGCAACAACAATCATTGGCTGAAAGAATTGTTTTAATTCGCTATCCTCAACCCAACTTCAAGAAAAGAATAAAAAGACTAGCGATGTTAATTTCAGAAGGGTATTTACAAATCGGTTGAGAAAATCGGCTAAATCGACTGAAAGAAAATCGGCTAAAAAACTAATGGTTGCCAGGGGGCATGTGATTGCAAACCCCCAACAAAAGTTAGTTGATCCATACACTCCACTTCAGTCTGCCGATTATAGTGAGGTTATGTTTGCCGATCAATGGACTTTTGGGCATGTTGCAGTCCTGCCGATTGAGTTGAATGTAAAATCGGCTAAAAGGAAATCAGCTAAGAAAACTCCTTGTTGGCACAATTTCATTCATCTAGTACAACTAATAGGCAGGTCGGCTAGAATGACGCTTCACAATAATTTAATTTTTGCCGATCATAATCATGATTTGCTAGCAGAGTTGGAAAATGCATGAAGGGCAAATCCTTCATTGGTTTTTGGGCTGGCAATATCAGCAAACTTTTGCAGAATCTAGAAAGAAGCCTAAATCGGCAGATTTGGCTAATATGAAATAAAGATCATCTTAGAGGTGATTCGGAAGAAATAAAGCTTTGTAACTCGTTGATTTGCAATCTGATTCCAAGTGACTAGCGCAACCTTTGTTCAAAATTTCATTCCAATGTATTTTAACTTTCAAATATCTTATCGGTTTGGGCGGCCGACAACCGATAAGACATTTTAAATTGGGGGGCATTGTTGACACCTTTTTTCGTAAATTTTGTATTAATGACATGGCAACCAATTTGGGTATAAATTGACACGTAGAAAAGGTTACAGAAGTTACATATAGAGACAAAGGAGATTGAAGCATTTGAATTATTTAATGGATAGGGATTATAATTTTAGTATTTATCTTTTAGTTGATATAAGTTAAATATTTATGTTTATCTTTAGGATTAGTTTATTTTAAACTTATAGTTAGTTGTGTTATCTATAGGATTAGTTTATTTTGAATTTATAGTTAGTTGTGATAGAGTTGTAATGCAAGTAAAATACTTGTGTGTAGGAGTTTGTTTTACGTAATTTCTATAAATAATCAAAGAGGCATGCTGATATAGAGGTCCAGCACCCTCAGAATCCTTTAATTTATTTGTTTATTTTCTCAAGCTCTTTCCTAGAATAGCATCCTTGCTATTTTTCTCTATCTCTATCCATCTCTCTCAATATCTCTTTCTTTCCCTCTCTCAATCTTTCTTTCTATATTTATTTCTATATCTACTTCTCCCCCTTTCTATCTCTCAATTGTTACTATGAATTATTCACTGAAAAGTCCTTTTAACTAAGGCATTACTGAACTCAAAAGAGGAGTTTTATTGTTCTCTTCATCCTCATCATCTGAAAGTCAACCTTCCCAAAGAGACTAACGTTGACAACTCATACTCGAACCATACAATTAGTTCTGGCACGGCCGCAACATATCAATTCCGAATCGGATCTTAGGAGCCAATTTTAGAGTCAACAGATACTAAAAAATGATAAGAGTGGAAATGGTGCAGATGCCATGAGCATCTTTATTTTCATTATATCAAACTCTACAACCAAAACAGACTTGCATGGCAAGATAAAGTTGGATGGAAAGCTGTCAACGTGAATGCCAAAATAACCAATGCCTGCCTTCTCCTCAAAGATTTTGTTGTTTATACAATCTGGAATGGATCGAAGAAATAATACAACTTTCCAAAAAGATTACAGGGATGCTTTGTCGTCTACCCAAATGAAACTGTTGACTGTTTTTGGGATTAAATTATTGACTTTGAAGAAGATGAAAAGTAAGCTTGGAGACTCACTCCACAAAATAGATTCAGATCAGCTATCACTTTCTTTGTGTTTCATTGCATCAGTGGGCATGACTCACACACATCAAACCAATGGACAAAAATGGAACTGTTCTTTCATAAGTAACAATTATAATACACAACTTACAGCAGCAGCACTTTGGACATCGTACAAGACTTTTATCACCCGCCCTGCCGGCCGGGGGGGGGGAATAATCCAATGCAAGATTGAGAAATTTGGATTAGTATCACAAAACACGAAACCTGTGTCAAGGTCTTAAAAGTTTCTACTTCCTACAATTTACAATTTCTCTACATCATCACTATACAACTGCTGTAGCACTGAGGTAAGGCGATAGCTTTTCAACAAGGAGATCAGTGTCACATACTCCAGGCAATGACAAGCTTTGATTATCAAGATTTTCAACATCCCGCTATCTCATCTCCCCAACTTAGCAACAATTTCTTATAGGAAATCCATTCCCTAGCTTGACACGTAATTAGCTGGGATGGTAACTTCATGGTTATATCACCGACCTCAAAGGTATTGTGGTATTACCCTCATCCTAAGCAGACCGTAAAGTCACCTGGCCCGTAGATGTTTTCTCAAACTCAGCACAAGCCTCGGGGGTGTCTTCCTCACTAGGCGGAACCAGCTGCCAAAAGAGAGGCAGATATTTGTCCCATTCCTTCAAAATAGCAGAGCCTTTGCCGCTTCCAGTTTTTTCCTTCATGAAAAGAAAAATACATGATGCATTAAGTGCAAAGCCTGAGAAATGAGTACCAGTAAAATACATGTTCCCATTGTGAAAAAATAACGTTTAAGATTAATTCTGAGGCTGTAAAAAATTAAAATTGAAAATTAGAAAGATATCATGCATAGGTTGGCAAGCCAGAGGAACTGACATAATCTAGAGTCTATAGACAATCCAGGCACAACAACATCAGAAACTTATAGCAGAAAGGCATACATACTAGCATTAACCTGTTGATTATAGATACTATAGACTGGAATACACTTGAAAATAAAGTGGAATATAATCAATAATTCAACTTTGTTCCAAAAGATACAAGTGTAGCTGTGTGTGTGTGCGCGCGTGTGCATGTGTGTGCGCGTGTGTGCATGCGTGTGTGGGCGTATGGTCATTCAGTTCATTTCGAATACTTACAACATGGGCTTCAATTAAACTTTTTAGCTGCGTCTGCCCCACAGGGGCAACCACTCTTTGGATCTTCACAATCTCCTTATTTACCTGTCAATTTTACCAGGTGTAAGTGTAGACTACAGTCTATGAATTGAAAAGAAAATTGTGAGGAATACCAACAACCAAAGCAAGTAATCAAACTAGCTAGTGAAAATAAGGATCTGTGAGTCACGAATTAATGTTCAACAATATCAATGGCAAGAAAACTCATTGTCAGAGACCTTGGGGATAAGAGTATCATCTTCATCAAGAATGTATGCTAAACCTCCAGTCATCCCGGCAGCTACATTTCTACCCACTCTGTCAAAAGTAAGTAACACAAAGTAATCAATTAATTCTTAACCCATTCCCTTCAACACGTTTAACTTCTTGGGCATGAAATTGCACAATACTCACTTTCCAAGCACAACCACACAACCTCCTGTCATGTACTCACAACAATGATCTCCAGTGCCTTCCACTACCGCTTGAGCAAGTGAGTTTCTCACCGCAAAACGCTCTCCAGCTTTACCTCTGACAAAGATTTGACCACCTGTCGCCCCATATAAGCAGGTATTCCCTACAATAGCTGCATCCTCAGGGCAAAATCCAGTGTTCTCAACAGTAGTAACAACCAATTCACCTCCAGCCATACCCTTAAAATTAATTGCCAGCATCAGCTGTCACATAATAATGTAGAAAACAAAAAACAATAGAGAATTCTCCTCTACTGAGAAGTTTGCAAATTCACATTTGACAAATAATAACAACTTTGACTCTTAATCTAAAGAACATTTCACAGATTCACAATATGGATTACCTTTCCCACATAGTCATTAGCTTCTCCTACTAGTCGAATGTTCATTCCAGGTGTCAGAAAACAAGCAAATGACTGCCCAGCACTCCCATTAAATCTGAATACATTAAGAGAATTTCCTTTACAATTATCAATGAGGCTGCATTCAAATGACAAAACAACTACATCTTTAGCATATCAAAAAGGCAAACTTACATTATATTCAGCTGCCCAGCAAAACCAGTGTCGCCGTATTTCTTTGCAACCACACCTGCTATACGCCCACAAACTGCACGGTCCACATTGTATATCTTTATGCTTTTACTGACCACTTTTTCATTCTCAATTGCATCTGATATCTGCACAGAAAATAAACACTGTTACATTATGAACACAAACCTATAGATGCTTAAATGAAGTACCACTACCAGTACATATTTTAGTTAGAAAATTAATGTATATAACAGCAATCAATATCACTTGCACTATTAAATTAACAAACGTCACGAAAATTTTGAAAAAGTTGTGGCGATAGAATGTGATACCAAGCATACTTGTTTGGAATCCCAGTTATATACGGAAATGCTTTTGTTACAGTATATGTGATAGTTTTCAGAACTCATTCCACTGCGTAGGAAAAAACAAACTACCATAGTGCAAAAGTTTTGCGATACTTGATGTTAGGCATAATTAACTGTATACTCTCAGAAGAATATTAGGCATACACTATCATTTCTGAACTTAGTTTACTATACAGTATTACAAGTGCTCTTTGTACGTATACTTAGGCTTTCCCATAAGTAATTATACTCTACATTTCCTAGTTGCTGAATGCTGATAGTGGATCATTTTACAAAAAAATTACCACATAATTATACAATGATTGACACTTAGGCCCTGTTTGGGTAGTGTGCTGTAGTGTGCTGTAGAGTTCCCTACAGTGCTACAGTACCCATTTTCAGAACACATGCTGTTTGGGCCCAACTTCTTGTGTTCTCAACAGTAGTGGAACACCAAGGAACAAATCCAATATTTGGCCCAAAAACTGGAACAATAATTTGGTGTTCTATGTTGTTCCAAGCCCATTTATTTTTACTGTCGCGAGATAATAATAAATTTTTCAGCCTCCCAATCGCCTCCATCCCCATTCTCGTTCTCAACTCTGAACTTGCCCTAATCGCCTCCATCTCTATTCTCATTCTCAACTCTGAACTTGCCCTAATTTCAGATCAAAAAAAATTCCCTAATCGCCTCCCAGTGGCGATTTCACGGCAAATCATTTCAACCTCCTAATCGCCTCCATCTCTATTCTCGTTCTCAACTCTGAACTTGCCCTAATTTCAGATCAAAAAAAACTGTGAACTTGCTCTCTCGCTCTCTGCAAATGCAAATTACAAAATATACAAGAATCAGCTGCCCTCTCTCTCCCTCTCTGCAACTGCAAACTACAAAATCTACAAGAATGGGTTTCATTTCAGATTGTTCAAAACCCATATCTTTCGGTCAAGTGTCAAGTCCACCTTTCTTTGAGACATTTTTTTGAACATATATATACTGATTTACAATATTGTTTGACCAGAGATGCAAGAGGAGGGGCGGGTCTCTTATTTGATGTGAGCTTTGCTCTCACTCTGTTCCAGACCTGTTACGGTAGAGTCAATATTTAGTTTGAAGAACAGTTATGCAATAAGAGAGAGAGCTACCTTGTGTGTATGGGTTTTCGCTGTTCCACTGTGTTTGGGTTTGCTTGTGTGTATGGGTCTCAACTCTCAAGCTTGCCCCCTCTCTCTCTGCAACTGCTAACTTGTGTGTATGGGTTTTGTTTTAACTTTCTTTTTTTTTTTTTCTAAATCTTTTAATCAAGCTCTGTAATTCTTGTTTTGCAAACTAATGAAGCTCTGTAATTAATTTAATTTAATCATCCAAAAAAAATATATTAATTTCTATTCCAAAATTCTCACTCCAAATTTTTGTTCCAAACATGTTTTGTTCCCATTTCAGAACATTACACTACAAAACACTTGTTCTGTTCTAGACTAGAGCAGTATACTGCATCACACTACACTTCCAGCCCTTAAGTTCTAAAAACATGTGACCTTCTAAGTCTTCTCATTGGGTTCATATTTTCTAAAAAGCAACCTAATGGCTAATGAACATTAAATATTTATCTAGATGTCCAACATTACCTAAAACCTCAATGATCCTCCTTTTTACGAAAATTTAGTATCCAAAAAATTCCAGAGTTCACTTTGTAAGTCTTCTCACTGGGTTTATATTAAAGTTCTTTTAGTACCATATATTTAAGGAGCATCCTAATGGCTTATGATTCTTCTTAAATCATTCAGTGAGTATCCAATAATATTTTAGAGTTCAATGATCTTTTATTGTCATTAAGAAAATTTAGTATCTAAAAAGTAAAAACTCCCACAGCCCTCTTCAATCCATTGGTTGAAACATAAACTATGGTTGCAGCTATGAATTGCTATGCATGCAGTAGGTTGGCAGAAAAGTGATTGATATCACGATTTCGTTTTTGACAATAATAAAACAGGAGTCCTCTTTCAGGACAAGAGTTCAGTACTATTAAAAACGGAGAACAAAAAAGAATAAGAATCTCCGTTCCAAGTTTCTCTTGGCTTTCTCTAACAGAAGACCACTAATAGTATGATAACTCTTTCCCTCTCAATGAGTCAGTGTGGTAGTTTAGGAAATTAGTGGAATGGCATACTTTGCAACTTCTAATCTGGATTTAAAACCTATACTTCGGAGACAAACAAAACCAGGAAGAAGATAAGGATTATTATGCTGCGAACTGAGAAGATAAATATAAGAAAATTTAAATACAAAAATAATTATCTATTCAAATAATAAATAATTTGTTACCTCTGGATCTGAGAGTAAAATATCATCCAGAACAGGACCATTGCTATGAACATCCTGATTCCTGATCGTCGTGCTACTCCATTTCGGTAATCCGACATTCTTCAGAGAAAAAAATGTACACTTTAGTTACACAAGAACAACCAAAACAAATGGCCGCAATAGCAAACACTAGTATAATTATTTGAATACATACAGAAAGAAAATAACTAAGATCAAGATGCTGAGTTTTCATCAACGAAATATCGCGAGGTCTCAGTAGATCTGTTCGTCCAATTATATCATCCAGCTTCTCATAGCCCAGTTGTGCCAATATTCCTCTTACCTGGTCAAAATATAAATGAAGACATCAAGAAATCTACAGAAATAGGCGACCAAATAATTAGTGGCCAAACTTGGGATTTGATTGATTCAAAGAATCAGGGATGGAAGATTGAGTCCAGAACAGAACTGAGGCTCATTATTTTCATTGTGGTCCTTATTCAAGATTCAGATTATACGGTGCTTGGAATTATTTAAATGGTTGAACCTCTATAATTGAGAGAAAAAGGCAGCTCCTTACTTTCACTAATTCTCGCCTTAAGACTGACTTAAAGCAGCCCATTCTACAACAGCGACACTTTTTCCACAAAGCCCCAACTCCACAATAGGTTAGGATAGAGATCTTGAGGGTAAAATTCAATCCCTGTTTACATTCTGCTCACTTCTCACCACTAAGCACTCCAACTTTACCAGATATTGTTTTTCATTCTCCACTAATTTGTCTGACTTCAACAAGTTAGGGTACTTTATTATTCTTGTAATAATTAAAGGCTCAAGGCGTGTTACCATACCAGGGTCTCCTAGAGATTAAGCACAAGACGCAGTACAAGGCAAGAGCAACATCAAAGTGAGGCCCGTGTATGATAGAATGCATTTCGAATTATCTTACAGTTGAAACAATATAAAAATATGCAACAGAAAATACTGAAATTTTTCAAAAAGAAAAGGGACTTTTCGGGCATATCAACTAAGAGGTAATTTACATCTGCATTCAACTAAATGAAATATCAATAATAAAATGTCAAGAGCAAAAAGATTTATTACATATAATAGTTATCATCATGTTTAGGATTAAGCACTGGAAACATATAATTTAGTAGTCAACCATAATCCATAGGTTCCAAATACCAAATACGAGATATGGTTTAAGTAAATATTTCTTCTGCTTCATATCATGTATCTATCTGACTGGACGCAAACTTGAGGAGAGGATATAAGTCTAGGAAGGAAAAAAATTTTTGGTTTAAGGCATCTGGACCGAGACAAGAATTGCAAGGAGGTGATAGCTCAAAGATGGAGAGGGGCTAGAGATGCCAACAGTATACAAGAGTACATAAAAAATTACAGGCCTGTACTCATGAAGTGACTGGATACAGTGTTTGCTTTGGACATATGTAGAGACAGCTCAAGGAAAAGAAGAAGAAAAAGAATATGACGACCTTAAAGAATATGCAGTTTAACAGACATTAAAAGGAACTAAAGTGGAAGATTAATGAAATGTTGGAGAGGAAATTTAATGGCATCAGAGAACAAGGGTTGTTTGACTTAGGGAGGGTGACTAAAACACTACATTAATACACTTCTCAATGCTAAGGCAACACAAAGCCACAAAACGAACTAAATTTAAGGAATATAAAATAAAGAAGGAGAAATCCTTGTCTGGGGAAAGGAAAATAGAAGAGGTGGTGGAAGAGTATTGTAGTAAAAATTGTAGACCCACTGTTGATTCGGAACTGGAGAAAGCTATTGAGGTCACTAATACAATAGTCAGACAACTTTCACAGGAGTACAAAATTGAGAAAGTTGTGCCAAGCGCTGGGGCAGAGGCATTTAAATAAGTCGGCAATCCCGATGGCAGGGGAGAGGGGTGTGGGGGTGGGGGTGAGTGGTTGCAGTTAGCCCAATAGCAATTCGAGACAAGTTTCTGTTAATCCTAGCTAGGAGACAAATCAAGCATAACTCTAGAATTTGATTAATCGCTAGTTAATATATAATAAAATGAAAAGGTCACACTAGAAACTATATGCACTGAACCATTAATTCTGTGGATTCAAAAAGCCTGTATTACCTCCTCAGCAACATATAAAAAGAAGTTGACAAGATCACCAGGCACACCAGGGAAACGAGCGCGCAGTTCTTCTCTCTGAAGTAAATTCAATTAGAGAAAGAAAACCAAATTATATGGCCAGAAAACAAGTAATGTGAACACAATATAACATCATAATCATCAATACCTGACTGGCAACTCCAACTGGACAATTATTTGTGTGGCAAATACGAGCCATAACACATCCAGTAGCAATCATTGCCACAGAACCAAACCCATACTCATCAGCACCCATTGCTGCGGCCATAAGGACATCAACTCCACTTTTGAAGCCACCATCAACTCTGAGAATAACCCTTTCTCTGAGTCCATTTTCGATTAGTGTCTAAAAAAGATTATTAACAATCAATTACAACATGAAATGATTCCAGAGGGAAACAGAAGACAGAAATGTCACCATTCATTTCAAAAGCTTTAAAAAAACCTGGTGTGTTTCTGTAAGTCCAAGTTCCCAAGGACCACCAGCATGCTTAATGGAGCTTATGGGACTTGCTCCAGTCCCCCCGTCATGCCCTGATATCTGCAAACCAGGTTAGATGCCTCTGTCAATTACTGACTGTAGTCCTAGTTTGTCAAGTACCAAGAAACCTTAGGAGTCCTACATTAAAACGACAACTGAGGTAGTGCTTTATTAAGTTATTTTGTAATTTCACATCACTCACCTATCCTATCTAAAGTTTTAGAGCATGTGCAAATATCGTAGACAGGGGATCTAGCAAAACAGAAGAAAATTATAATTGGTACAGATCGCATTGAATACACATATTTGATACATTAGGTTCCAAAGAAAGATAATGGGTAAACTACACATAGGTGGAAAGGTGAAAAGGCTAGAGAGTTTGGGGAGGAATACAAACTATTTTATGCGGGTGGCAAGGATAATTATAAGAATGGCAGGGGCATAGCAGTAGACTATATATGAGAAATGATATTGTAGAAGTTATAAGACAAGGAGATAGATTATGCTTGTAGTGATACAAATATATTATGGTAGTAAGTGGAAGATTGTAGAAGCAGACAAAAAAGATTTACAGATGGTTATCATAAACTTAGGATTAACTGCACGAACACCCCATTGGATACATATAGTGCATATAACCACTTGAAGTTTGGAAACACCCATAACCATTACTTTCAGTGCAAAAGAGGGCCTAACTTCAGTTTGCTTTAACAGAAGACTAAAAAGACTTAAATACCATTATCAGAAATGGATAGGATAAATTTTAATAATTAGAAATTACAAAACAAAAAGAACAATACCCAAATGCAAGTGAAAAGTGGACTTCAGAGGCATGATTTGTTGTATGAGACCCCTAAGTCCACTTATTTGTAACTTTCCCAGAGAAATCATTAACATGTTCATAAAATCAGATTTACCGACCAAACTGAAGCCTAAGATAGTCTCATTAAATTTGAATCAGAAAGCTTCCCTCCCAAGCTTGTCTCCTAAAATTAAGACCAATTTTTCCTTACCAGCCATCAAATATGTATATTTTGTTTTTCCCTTTATTAGCCGTAAAATTTTCAGATAGAAATATTGAGAACCTAAGTAGCACTGTGGTTGGACAAATAGATTAAAATACAATCTGCTATGAAATGGTAACAAATTACTTACAAGTGTTGCTACAGTTTATTACATGTATTCAAGATGTTATCCACTACACTAAAAAACTATATAGAACCTGTGAGGAGCAGATTTAGTATCGCTAGTGTTCTTGGAAGTTTCACATCACACCAAGGCTTGGAGAAAAGACAAGGTTGTGGTAGGTAAATGGCCGGTGTAAAACTTAGTCAGATCTTACGAACATATACACAAATTTTTTGACAGTAAAGGAACTTTCTTTTTCTTTAATACGCACGATTGAAAGAAGCTTATTTTGAAAAGTTATACACACACACACACACACATATATATATACGTTTCAGGAGATCACTCTGAAATCTGATGAGTTGTCACCAAGAATGATGAGGCAGCTGTCACTAGCCAGTCAGCAGTAAGAAATAAACTGACATTACCATCTTAAAGATCCCAATTAGTAAATCAACTAGTAAAAAATCAGTAGTTGGATAATTTAAGCTTTTCAACTTCATTATTCTCATTGCAACACTTAAAATAAAGTACCCTTATTTTCAAGAAACTGTAAAATACAATAGTCCCAAACTCATCCATCCCATTTTCCTGTTACGGTTCTCAATTTGGATTTCTTATCTCAATAGCCCGAAAAAATGACCTCCTCAATAGCCCGAAAAAATGACCTCCTCTGATTTAGCTAGGAGGATGACCTACTTACCCAAAAGATAGAGAACAAGTAGCTTAGCTCAATGGTGGTTCAAATGAGGAACTGGAGAGAAACTCCAGAGATATAAAATAGGCTCCAGAAAAGTTCATTGCGGAAACAACGAGACAAGGTTTAACAAGCCCTAAACTCCTACCTTCAGAGAAAGCACACACTGAGACACTCTTGCAAATGAGAAGACCATAAAGTTCAACACACTATTCTTCTAACAAAAAGCAAAACTTCATGAACTTTAGTTTCCCTAGTTGGAAAAGACTCTGTTGAGTTGTGCATGAACTTTAGTTTCCCCTAATAAATTATTTATTTTGATCATCAGAACAACTTTTTTGCTGTAAGATTGAAATACAGAGGATTGGATTAGCTTAGCACTAACAGACAACATACAATTGTTACCTTCTTAACTCATAAAGAACTACAACAATTAAATCCCACTCCATGATGCTAAAACAGATGTCCTTCAAAAGCATACTAAATATTATCAACTAGGAGTCTCAAATGATTTCTATTCTAATTTCAAACACTAAACATTACCTTAAATTAACAGCACTAACAGATCTGGTTAGAGCATGCAAGAATATAGCAGAAAAGTCATTGGCGGTTACCTGTATAACATCAGCATTACCCTTTGCAACTCCAGAAGCAACTGTGCCAATACCAGCTTCTGCCACAAGCTTTACAGACACTTTAGCCTTAGGATTGACCTATTTATTGAGTAGAATCAGTGGTAATTACACACACACACAAAAATGTGGACACATTCTATTAAGGTTTATTAGAAGATCAAATATTATGAAAATTTCACCTGATGAAGGTCAAAAATCAATTGGGCAAGATCCTCAATAGAATAAATGTCATGGTGGGGAGGTGGAGAAATAAGCGGAACCCCAGGTTTGGAGTTTCTTAGTCTTGCAATATATGCACTAACTTTTTTGCCAGGCAATTGTCCACCTTCACCAGGCTTTGCACCTTGCGCAATTTTGATTTCTAATTGATCAGCATTAACCAGGAATGTCGGAGTGACACCAAAACGCCCTGAAGCAACCTGATGAAGATGCAACTAGTTTCCATTAAGCATTATTGAACACAAATGCAATTAGAAGAGAACTTATGCAGATGATCTTCAAACAACGAAGAATATAAAGATCTTTACTTTTAACAATGACTTCCCATCTGTTTGAAAATATCCTTCTATCTTTCGTTTTCGGCAACAACAAAATATATATATATATATATATATATATATATATAAAGGTGCTAATCTAAAGTCTGTAATGGATAGATGGACTTAAGAAGCCAGACAAACATGTTCACAAAAAATTAATCATTTTGACCTGCTTGATTGCACTTGTAGCTGTATCTCCATTTTGAAGACCTTTGAGATGAGCCAAGGTAGGAGAATAGCCATCAACAACATCAGTAAGAGGGCTCCAGCGAATTGGATCCTGGATAAAAATAGTGACGTATGTGTCATAACATCCAAGAACTGTTTTATGGTTGCTCAAATGAAACAAAGATTACACAAAATGAATTTAAAGTGGTCTACCCAGTAAAAAAGAAAAACAAGAGGATCTGATTGTGCTTAACACTTTAAATTAGTGAACGGACTACCTCACCACCTTCTCCTGAATTAGATTTTCCACCTAATCTATTCATTGCAATGGCAATTGCTTCATGAGTTTCTCTGGAAATAGCTCCAAGTGACATCCCACCAGTGCAGAACCGCTGAACAATAGATGAAGCAGGTTCAACCTTTCCAACAGGAATTGGAACACGGTCACTTTTAAACTCGAGAAGGTCACGAAGCACCTACAGTTAAAGGAAACAAACGACTATTTAAGAATCTTATGTAGAAGATATAACAACATGGAAATGCGAGAAAAGCCACAAAACAATAAACAAAGAATGATGACTTCAGGAACTCAACTTACATTCACAGGTCGATTAGCTAAATGCTGCTGATACACTGAAAAAGCACTTTCACTCTTTTGGCGGACAGCCTTGTGGAGCAGTTTTGACATCTCTGGGTTGTTTCCATGATATTCCCCTGTTAATATAACAAAAGTTTTTAGAGTTTTGACATTGTTTAATACAGAAGAAAGGCAAAGGTTTAATCATCTATACAAAAGTCAAGCCATGCTTAATACTTCAACAGCCATAAAAGGTGGCGAGGCAGGGAAATATGATCCAAGAACAGGTCAAATAATCAAATATGGTACATCTTCAAAGAAGCATGATAGTGTCCAATGACGACTACAAGATTAAGGCAAAAACTTGAATAAATTAATGCAAATGTAAGAGAAACAACATGGAAAATGGATTTTCAGTTATGAAAGCAGCAGCCTGCATAATTTAGAAACAGATGACTCCTCTATTATGTTAGACCATTTGTAATAACTTATATTCATAAATATGAGTTCTTTTCTTTTTCTTTTTTTCTTTTTTGGTTGTGGGGGGAAGCAGCACAAAGAATGGGAAAAGCCCACTTTTGCAGGAGCCCCTGTTAGAAACTATTTTAAATTTTTTATCACTGACGAGCATATAATTAATCAAGTGAATTTTTCCAAAATTGTATAAATAATATTATGTGAGAGAGAACCAACACAATCTCTCATTCATCTTTCTGTTCTCTCTCTTCTTCTTTTCCCTGTAATCCAACTTGGTATCAGAACATCATCTTTAAAGGGAGTAAACAATGCAAACCAGCAAGAAAAGAAGTGCTGCTGCCAGCACACAGACCACACTGATGCTGACATCAGCATGCAAAACTACCATCTAGTTTGCCACTGTTAGGGAAATCTCTTTGTAAAGATTCAGCCTGATCCGATCTCATTCGTTATTTCTTTCTGAATTTTTCTTTTTTCCAAAAAAATGAGGTGATTTTGAAGAAATACAGATCAAGAGTTTCTTGAAGTGATTTACTGATGCAATCTGTAACAGAGTCTGATTTGGATGTTTGTCTGGTTTGGTTGTGGATATTCGAAGGAACAAAGGAGTTTTATTGAGTTTTATGTCTCACCATGTGATGGGTTCTTCACGTCTGCCGCAGTAACTTTTTTTTTTTGTCAAACATTATATATTTTTTTTGAAGCTATAACAAAGAGTTTCACTTCTTTTAAACAGATTTTGTCTCCCCGATAATTGTTTTGAAGTTCTCTTTTTTTGGCTTTATCTTGTGCGATTGGAAGAGGTTGACAGTTTACTGAGTTTACTGGTATTTAAAGCTAACCACTATATTCAGAAGAAATTGAGATCTCAAAAATCCCAAAACAGGGGTTAGCGGATCAAGGTAGTACTCATGTCAAAAACCTTACTCTCAAAATGATAACAGTAAAGTTAGATGGCCAAAACTATCTTCAAAGTCCACAATATGCAACATTGTTTATTAAGAGTAAAGAAAAAATGGGTTATTCGATTGGTAAGGTAAGAAACCAAAGGTTGGTGATCACTTAATGAAAAAATGGGAGGCTGAATGAAAAAAATAACCAACAGGCCAGTGGCCTAGCGGTATCAGGCCCCTACTTCCCAAAGGGAGGTCAAGGGTTCAAGCCTCAGTGGAGGCATGTGTGTGTGAGTATCAATTAATAAAAAAATAAAAAAATGGGAGGCTGAATGAAAATTCAACAGATATCTAGCGGCTTCTTCACTCTCTTTACTCACTTTTGACCAAATCTCTTGAATTTTGAGATTGTGATCACATCATTTCAGTTACATGTTAAGTAATTTCTATCAACAGAAATAAAGAGATGCTATTTCCTTCAATAAAATTAAATTTATCCTAAATATACATGTAAGTCTCGATGCCCAGAAAACATCATTAATGAACACTCACACACACACAAAAAGATGCACACACACGTACAATTGAACAATGCATGTATCAAGTACAAGTCCTTAAAAAATACGGAGGAAAAAAAAAATGATAACAAAAGTTACCTCCGGGTCTGAATTGTATAAACCCAAAATTTTCTAGTCTTTTAGCTGTATCCTCGGAGAAAGCTTTCACCCAAAATGACAAAGTCTCCCTTGCCAGCTGCAAGACAAAAATATTTTATATAACTAAATTAAAAGGACTCAAACATCAACAGCTCAAAAACAATGTTATGAATAGAGAAAAATATATGACAAGGTAGAAGAACAAGTGATTGCAATTTTTTTTTTCCTAACTCATCATTTTATTAAGCCATACCCTCATGAAACCAAACAAGCAGACACAATACAACCTATTCAACCGCTCAACTGAGATGCATAAAGAAGAAAAAACCACTTCCAAAAACCAGAGATTAAAAACAAAAATAACAAAGCAAGGACTCCCAGCAGCTCATCAAGAAGCTCAGACAGCAGCTCTGGAACAGCAACAACCAAATCGATATACTTGCACCAGCGGTATAAAAGGAATTCCCACTCTCCCAAACCGCTGATAGCAAACAGATCCCAGCACATGAACACCAATACTAAACCATTTCCAAGCCTAAAAAAGGAGTGAATAAGGAAAGCAGGCCTCATCCACAAAGTTTAAAATGGAAAACTGTTAAAAAAAATTTATGAAGCACATTAGGCACCTATTTGTTAAATCAGCAATCTCTTCCGCCCGAAACACTATTTACTATTGCAGGATATCAAAACAGTAACCAGAAAGGAATTTGGTTTCTATTAAACCATAAATAGAAGTATTAGATAATTGGGGAAAAGGCTTGGTTGTTGCTGTTTTATATAAGTATTAGATCTCCGCCAGAATAGCGTTTCGGGCCTTATCTTTATACAGCTAGTTTAAAGCCCAAAAAAAATCACATGTATGGTGTTTAGAGCCTTATTTTACACAGCTAGTGTGAAGCCCCAACAAATGAGAGATTGAGTTAAGTAGCTTGATACCTAGCGAATAACTTTTCAAGGAAACTCAGGAATATATGAACATGAATCCTAATAGGTTAATATATGTCTTTATAACTTCTTTCTTTTCCAAAACCCACCATAGTATATCTCTAGGATCATAAACTTTCTCAAAATTTTGTAAAAGTACAGATTTGGAGAAAAACTACATTAGGGCTTCTAGTGATATAATAGGGTGGTAGCCTGGTAGGTTTGGGAAATGGGTTACAAATAGATAATTGATGTGTTAAGGCAAGTGTATGATGAAACTACAACAATGGTAAGAAGACCTGTGGCGAAAACAAGTTAATTTCCAATGATTATAGGCTTGCATTAAGCCTAAATCTTTTAATTATAAATGAACGAACAAAACATATTCAACATGATATTACATGTTGTATGCAATTTGCAGATGACATTTTTTAAATTTAAAATAAGTAGGATAGGGAAAAGTCCTAAATTGGAGATCAAGAGGGAAGATCTGTAGACTGAAAAAAATAAAAATAAAAAATAAAAAAAGGGACTAAAACTGAATATAAGAAATAAAACTTCAATAAAATAAGGAACAAAAGTTTGGATGTAGTGAAGATCAATGGTTTAAAGATACCAAAAAACGAACATTTACATCGCTTAGGCTCGATTATGCTCAAAGATGGATAAAATGGAGATGATATTAGTCATAGAATTACAATAAGATAGATTAAATGGAGGACACTTACCGCGTAGAGTGATTAGCATTAGACCTCTAAAATTGGAAGATAAATTCTATCAATCAGCTATTAGCCCAACCATATTTACGAAACAAAATGTTGGATAGCTAAAAAAACAACGTAGTCATAAAATGAGTATAACAGATATGTTAATGTTAAGTTGAATGAGTGGCAAGACAAAAAAGGATAAAATTAGGAATGCAAAAACTGTTCATGGTAAAAGTAAAACTAATTTTAGATAAAATGAGAAAATCGATTAAAATGGTATGGGTACATCCAGTGACAGCCAATAACTGCACCGACGAAAAAGGGTGGCATAGTTCTTACTAAGACAATTAGGAAAGATATAATGAAACCTGGTTAAATGAGGTTTTGGAATAGATGGTGAAACAAAATTCATGCAGCAGACTCCAAATAGTTGAGAAAAGGTTTATTGAGTTGAGTATACAAATACTAGTGTGCTTTCCATCTAAATATATATATATAGTGTTTTATCAGAACAGTAACCCAAAGGTATCAATTAAATGAAGCAAATACATCTATATACATGAACAGATAAAAGTGATAACAAGTCATGGAAGTTCAATAGTATGGCTTTGTATTTCTCAAGCTACAAGGAGAAACTCGAGTATATGTAATGCTTGTGGTATACTCTCAACGTAATAAATCCATGCTCAGGTACATATTTCCAATTATTAAATTGACAATTCCATTTTATTTGAGCAGTAACACTCCAATTTCGTTTACACTGTTTAGTAACACTCATCCACAGCCACAGGAACCAAATCTGAGCAGCCATGTTAAAGTTGTTCTAATACATGTGTGATACAAGATAGGTTAATAATGCTTTCATAATATTAATTGATTTGCACAGATAATATACATTCATATGGGAGATATTCGCATTTTTAAACTAAGAAACAGTCCAATATTATAGAGAACAAGACATTCAGTCTATATGATATGTTCAAGATCAAGGAAATCAACCTTGATTTTCAAAAAATTAAAGCACTCATATTAGATCCCAAAAAATAGGAAAACAGTAAAATAAAACAAAAAAGTTCGGGACCAAGTGTTTTGGTGTATTTCTTACCTCATCAAGAGTTAATCCACCAATACTTGATACACTCCCACAAAATGCAAGATCAACAACATCTTTTCCTAATCCATAAATTTCAAATATCTGGGCACCACAATAACTAAATCCCAGGAAATTTGTCAGTGAAGTTTGCCAAGAGAACTGGAAACCTAAGAAAAAGAAGTTTAGGAGGCAATACATAATAATTAAGAAATTAGAACCCATACCTCGAAAGTAATGAGATGCCCATTTTGGAAAGAATTTTCAAAAGACCAGATTTAACTGCCTGAAATGGAATCAAGCCAACTATAAGCCCCCAAGCACAGAGGATGTGAAATTTGAAAAAATAATAATAATAATATCAAACAATGAAAGAAAGTTCTAGAAAAAGTAAGATGCAGAGAGTTCCAATTTATATCAAAATTAAGGTCAACATTTTGATATCTTCCTGATACTAAGAAAAAAGTTAACAGTTACATCTTCCAAATTTCAATATGCATAAAATCTCAACTACAACGCTTGACGTTGCCTCATATGCTCCCCCCTCTCTATATATTTGTATATCTGTGCATCTGAATATTTCTGTTCCCAACTTCACACTAATTCTTGCCGTGACTCATATTAAGCTTCTTAGAAATGCTTACAAAACAAGAACACAGTGGATATGCAATGAATTTCTACTGATGTTATAAGTTAGAACAATAACCAAACAAAATCTTCAACATTAATATAACGAATGTTCTCAATTAACAATAAACCTCCAACGATGTACCCATTCTTTCTAAATAATTTATAATTCCAATTAAACACGAATTTAGAAGTGAAAGATAGCAGCCAATACCTAGTAGCCCCAAAATTTTCAACAGAATCAGTCGTATATTGATGAGGCATACAAAGTGAATACTATAGTGTTAGGGTCAAATGGTACATTTTTGAAACTCCAAGAAAAGGAAATAGGAAAAAACAAAGGAGAGAAGGAAATGAACTCATTAAAGCAAAAGAAAAAAAGAAAAAAAAAAAAAAATGAGAAAACATACTCACTCAACATCTAACAAACAACCACCATTTAAAAATATCAAGAAGAAACAAAGGCCATCTAAATAACTTGAGGATTTCTCCCCCTCTTTTGGCAGAGCCCCGTGACCAAGGAATCCACCTTTCTAAAAAAAGGTAAATAAGTCCGTCTCTCTGAGCAAATAAGCATAATCAATGACCAAGAATTTGACAGGTCAATTGCCACACCACATAATTAGAGTCTCCTTCAATCAAATAATGATGTAGCTCCACGAGAAAGACCTCCCTAAGGCCTTCTGAAGGTGCCCTAACTTGGCTTCAGTCTCATAACCTATTCCAAATTGGTTTAGAGTATGAGAACAACATTTCCTTTAAAATTTAAGAATATCTCCAATTTCAAGTTGCTATGGATTTGAAAAGGAAAAAATAAGATATCTTCCACCAATTTTGAATCCCCACAAACACACACAATAGAAATAACAGAAGGAACAAATAGTAACCATTACTAGGGCTGAAAAGTAACCTTTAACCAAAAATTAACAATCTATATTTTAAATTTTTTGAGAGCGACTTTTGGAATTCAAAAAAGAGACATGGGTGGCTTGTGCGCTTGAAAAGTTGGATTCGGAAAACAGACATTTATTTTGGATGAAGGGAGTATGCAGAACTTCAGCAGAAGGCAACTCTTCAAAAATAAAGCAATTTTCATTAAATCATTCCGGATATGAACTATTATTCTCCAGTATATCACAATTCTAGAAATTCGGAGGGAAATCTTCATTTCAAGCACAGGAGTTTCTATGATGGACTAGTTAACCCGCACAACAATTTATTTGACACCAATTATGCTTTAAATCTGTCAGCTACAAATTCAACAGAGTATATCGATCTCACATATAGGAAGTTAAGAAGATCACCTACCTCCAAACACTAACCATCTTTAGAGTTGTTGTGCTACAACTGAATGATGTACATGCAATAAGGAAAGTATTGGCAAGAGATGATGTGCATAAACATGAGGAAATACAAGTAAAATAAGAGTAGCTTAATTCGCCACCAAAAAAGTAGATTAAATTTCATCAAAATCTACATAGCTACCTAACTAGCCATAATTAATGACGAAAAGAAAGTTGCATCTATAAGTAAATCTTATAAAAGCATTCCTTGCAGCACTGATGTACAGACCTTGCAAAAATTCTTCTGAGCCTGTTCAATAGTAACAGTTGGCATCTTTCCGTTCCGCATCAGGTTCACAGTTTTATTACTCAAACGCCACTGTCGGCATGTCTCCAATGCCAAGTATGGACATACGGCACTGAAAAATAATATCTTAGAAAGATCAATATCGGGGTGAAAAAGAGAGAATCATTTTCATGTGCTAGAAGTATCATATATCTGCAATACACAAGCTGAAAAAAGGAAACATTGGCAAAACTAGTAACAAAAGACAACATAGATAAAAACTCTCCAACGCAAAAGCTTCAATTGAGTCTGGAAGAATAACATATGAGGATTCTTGATTATTCAGTTAGTAGGCACTGCATTACTATCAAAAGAAAGGGTAAACTCCCACGACCTACTGCGAGGTCATAACCCTTGCATAAAACTTACACTAAATTTAAGGTCAACCTCCCGTAAGATTATGATGAAAATAAAGATCCCCGACAAAATTCACGGACCAATAGCTCCTTTAAAAAATATGGTCTTGAATTTCAAATTTTACCTTCTTTTAAAGGAAATGATGAAATTACCTGCTGCATTCAAATATATAATTGCAACTGCCTGTTATATTCAAATATATATATACACACACACCGTATATACTACATATATTACGCATATTAGTACATAGATAATATATAAAATGTCAATTTGTAGATTACCCAAATATGGAATTACATATTTTTTTATATATATTACTAACTAGAATACCCATGAAACTCAATAAGATGTAAATGGCTTCAAGATACCCCAAAACACCAAAAACAATATCTGGGTACAAGGCACTTTTCCAAAGGAGTGAAGGACTCCATCACAGTAGCTTGAATAAGATGGCGCCTCAAAAAGATGCCAACTGGGTTATCATATAACCTCATAGAACAACAGAGTTATAAGCCATTACAAGAGCAGAGCCTACAATTATGGTATCAATCCAGTCAACAAAATTGGGATAGAGAGTAGTCGGTTCGATCTTTTAATCTGCCCTGCACCGTCCTCCAGAAATTTCAAACAGAGTTGAAACAATTTTAGCAAAAAAACTAAAATCTACACAGGAAAATCTGCAGTAATTACATAAAGAAGAGGAATAATGGCTAGAGGATTTCAATGGGTTAAAGTCGCAGGATATGTGGAAGTATGTTGGAGACGGACCCAAATGTTGCCGAAGAGGACTGGGACAACACCATATTATGTCCTGACCAATGTAACACGAAACACCAGAGAAGGAGATAAAACAGATTGAAAGAGGGGGAAGAGACCTAAAAACTGGGGGTAATTTTGTCATTTTATCAAATAAATACCACATGAGATCTTCAATTTAATAAGATTGGAATAGCATTGAGAGTAAAACGGTAAAAGGCCTTGCGACATTTCGGCATGATAGGATTGCTAGATCCAACAGGGGTGTCAACCAACATATGGGTGATAACTTAAAACCTCAACCAAAAAAAAAAAAAAAAAAAAAAAAAAATCAGGGTAATGCACCATCAAAAAATACATAGAGAGAGATATTAGGGTTTGCCATTGTTGTATGACTTATAAAGAAGCAGTCAGGAGATCATCGTTGTTTGCACCACCAAAAAGCTCTTTAGTAGTGTTTTCTTCTCTTTCCACTATCCGGAAAACTGCACATTGGACTAATTGGTTTTTACAGTTTCTCAAAGCCTAAAATATGAAAAATGCAACATAACAGAGAATGTGTAATATGAAAAACAATGTCACTTTGCTTTCTTGTTTCCAAAAAGAACAAAAAAGCAGTACTTTGGATGAGTGCCACACATTTTGAGATACTATGATGAAATTAGTTTCTGTATGATAATAAGATTGATGAAGTACTATCTGGGTTTCATCAATTTGCAAATTCTTCTACAGTTAGTTCAAAAAATGAAATTGGCTGATATTATGACGATCCTAGGTAGCATGGATATCATTATGGGAGAAGTTGATCGTTGAAATGAAAATTGATACAACAGCAGAACATGCTATCAATTCTCAACTTCCTCTTCTTTTTTTTCATTTTTTTTGTTAGAAAAGGTTCTTATTTTTTTATGCTTCCTTGCTCATATACTTGCTTGAAGGTGTGATGCAAAAAAAACATTTTCAAGCATATATTAACATATTTATGTTCACCTGTCAACAAAATGAAGTGTTATAAAATTTAGTAAAAACAAAAACAGAAGAAACCTTTGAGAAACATAAATGGGCTTAATTGCGCTTACCCCGTACTGTTACTTAGTGGTACATAACATAACCCTCTCAACTACGTTTTTGGCAGATAATCCCCCCTACCTATCAAAAAGGTTACACCGTACCCCCAAACTGTTAATTACCTGTTAATTAAAATCTTAAATGATAATATTGCCCATATGTAAAAGAAATATATTTATATTTCAATAATATAAAAGTACAAGATTGCACAAATAGTTAGTGTCGTTTTAGATCATCAAGCCGAAAAGTTGTTGCAAAACGGCACTATAATGACTTCGGCAAATGTAAATATATTTCTTTACATGCAGGCAATATTGTCACTCTAGCTTCTTTTCAATGACAAGTCTAACAACAAGGGTAATGCGCAATTTTTTGATCGATGAGGGAGGTTTTCTGCCAAAAATGTAGTTTAAGGGGTTAAGATTACTTAAGCCAATATAAATAAAGTAAGTATTTCAAAAAGAAATAGTAAGAGAAGTTAAGTATGGAGCATATGATGCGATGTAAACTAAATTAGGCATAAAGGATAGTGAAAAGAATAAATCTTAAATTGCTGATAAGAGAGATAAAGCAAGAACTTTTAATAATAGTAAGTGCATCAATAGTTTGGATCTAAGGGTCTTCGTGAAAGATGATGAAGTTAGAAAGATGAGAAAACTTACTTTGAGAAAGTCTAACTAAAACCCATATAGGAAGCATAGATTTATAAGAATATCGCAACCTCAAGGAGATAAGAGAAAGATAGATCAAGGAGACAAGCCTCAAGAAGACAAAACTATATACTCTTTGGCATCAATATATCCATATTGTTTTCATATATTTGGAGACAGCCTACAATAGAGTCCTTTAAAAAAAATGGTGGGTATTCAAAACTGAAGATACATATGGATATATTGATGTGCTAAAAGATTTGAGAGAAGAAACTGTGACTATTGCAAAACAATTGTAAGAGAAACAAGTTAATTCCAATTATTGTAGATCTACAACAAGTGAACAAACAAAACACATTTTGGATGAGGTTCCATGACATATATCATTGCCTATTCTTAATGAGATCTGACAGAAACTCTCAAATTAAGACGGTTTACAGAATGCAACTTTAGAAAAAGTAGAAATACAAGTCTTGTTACGACAAACACCGCGAACCAAGAACACAATCAAGAATCGTGATAAACACGCCACACAAAGAATACAAAGATATAAGTAGTTTGGCAAATCCTACATCTACGGTGAAGATCCAGCAAAAATCAGAAGATTACAAGTTTCAGCCCCAGGACCTAGCTCTCTCTCTCTCGCTCCTGCATTTTCCAGTTTTCTCTCATGACCTACTCCAAATCCTAAACACCCTTATAGGCTGGGCTACAAGAGAGTACTAAACAGGGTTCAAGACCCGCAAGCGAAAAAAATGGTTAATTTTTGGTGCACTTGGGCCCACACAAATCCCATTTGCGACTAGAGCCGAAACAAAATTCAAACCACAACATCACAAGTCTGGATGTAATAAAATATCAAAAAGTGAACATCTTCGTTACATACGCTCAATCATGCATAAAGGGAGAAATCAAAGATGTTAATCATACTATTAAAGCAGAAAGGATTTGGACTTCTTGTTTGGTTAGCATATACCTCTAAAACTGAAAGGTAAATTTTATAAAATACCTATTAGACTAGCCATACATTACAGGTGGTTGCTAAGAAACAACATAAAATAAAAAATTAGAATAGAACATGTGTGAATATTGAGATAGATATTGGTAAGACAAGAAAATAAAACAAGAAATAGAAACATTCATGAGATAATGAAGTTGCGCCAATTAGAGATAAATGAGAGATAATCGATTAAGATGGGTTGACCATGCATATCAATAGACAATAACTGCAATTGGCAAGGAAGAGTGACATGATTCTTATTGAGAGAAATACTAGGGAAAGGGAGAAAACCATGGGTTTAGATAGCTAGGATAGACATAATAACATGTGGCCTAACTGAAGATATAATGGAATGATGATAGATTATTTAAGTAGTCAACCCCAAATAGTTGGAAAAATATTTATTAAGTTGAGTTATCAGCAAAAGGAAAAAGAAAACCTCATCAAAATCAACAAGGATCTAATACTGAGAATTTACTGATAATGAAGTGTGCGTATAGAGATGCATGCAGAAAAGAGCCAAAGTTGATGTGCTAATTTACATAGAGGAGACTCATTTTGAGTTAACATGGCAAAACAGGAAAGAGTAAATCTTGCACAGAAAAGAAACACTAAGGACGTCCAATATTTTGTCAACATCATTTGGTCAACTTTGAGCAATGAGACTTGGCGACTACCGGGTTGAGTAAATGAGATGAAACATTACCAAGAGAAATAACTAACCCTTTTATAAAGTGAAAAATAGAATAAACGACAAGACTGGAAAAATACTGATGGTCTAATATAAGAACAAAAAAAGAGAAGATGGATCAACATATGTGAAGAACCAACTATCATTATTTTAATTTATTTTATTTTTTAGGAAAAAAATGTCATGTTGAATAATAATGCACGTCAGGTCACATATTTCAATTTTCCAACCTAATCTATAATAACAAAAGTACCATATTTTTCTGCTTCAGTATACTTTTTTTTTTTTTTTTTTTTTTAATGTATGCTAACAAAAGAATTGTGTTACTTATTAGCGGAAAAGATAAACACTCCTGTCATGGAGGTGGAAATAACCTTGCACCATATGCAATCAAACAAGCAAAATGATGAGTACTGAAGCACTGAGCAGTGTCTGCAATAATGGAAGCTGACATTCGCAGGCCATTTTGAATCAAATGCTGGTGAACAGCACCAACTGCAAGAAGTATTGGAATGGCAGGCCGAGTTGGTTCCTGAATAAAACAAGAAATTAAGATTATCTAATATTGATGGAATCAATCATTAAAAAAATGTGTTTCCATGTCTAGAAGATCAAGAGAAAGAAAATGACTGCTCAGCACAAAAGAAACCTACTACAATCATTTAACCAATCCGAAATGATTAAATGAATGCTAGATGCCAAAGGAATCCATAGTGGTTAAGAAACTAGAAATAATGGTTTGTAAAAAACTTGGGAAATCACAACATTTAGGAATGGGACACTTTGTTACAAATCTACAGTTAATACTACCCAAGTAAAAGAAATTTTGAAATTCTAAACTGATGATGGTGACAACAACAATGACAAAAGAAGATGCGGCTGGGTGAGTGCATGCATACAAGAGAGAGATCCCCTGATTTGAACACGGCTTACAATATACAACAACCGGGTGCTCACCAGCTCATCAGACCTGTCAGAGAGAATAAGCAACTGGGAACCATTTCTAACAGCTTCATCAGCAGCTTCACAAAGCTTATTCAATGTCTTTTCCAAGGAACCATCAACTCCTTTCCTTATATCAAAAAAAGTTCGTAGCACTTGGGGTTTCAAGTGGGGATCTTTCAGCAGCGACTCAAGCTCCCCTTCATTCAGTACAGGACTAGACAAAATAACCTGGTTCAGAAAATAATTAAAAGTTCTGCAAAAAATAGAAAATATATATAAAAAAGGTAAAATCTTAATAAAAGCCCATATCAGCTGAAACATTAGAGAGGCGTTAATCATAAGACCATATCTTGGAAGGGAGGATCCCATCCATATGGCGCAAAGGAAAGGATGATGATGATGATGATGATCTTGGTAGGGAGAAGGGAATGCTAACAAACCTGAGAGGCATTCTCAGGTCCAACCTCTAAAATGTTTCCACGCTTCCCAATGTTGACTTCAAGAGACATAACTAATCCTTCTCTAAGAGGATCAATAGCTGGATTTGTAACCTGGCATGTAAAACAATGATCAGAAGGCAATAAGATTCAGCAGAAAATTCAAAATCAAGATAACGTCAAAAGCTTAAGGCATGATGGAATCAACAAAATAAGATAGCAAGTAAAACATTTACATACTAAATCAGAAAAATAAACTATATAGAGATTAAACTTTAATTTACACTTAAGTTTGTGAAAATATTTAAGACAAACGAATGAACTCAAAAGGATGGAAAATGACACAGAATATTCTCGATCTAATATCAAGATATTGTTCATAATATAACCCACAAATCTTTGGGAGCTAATTCTTTTCTTTAGTCCGCTATGCTGATTGACTCACTTGCAACACAACCCAGGAGCAGTTTCTTTTTTTTCTTCTTTCTTTTTTTTTTTTTTTGGTCAGCAAATCGGTGCAGTACCTTTTTTCATAAGCCTCAGTTTGGTTAGATAGAATCAATGGGAAAAGAAAGGAAAGAGAAAATTTTAACTAGGAAAAAAAAAAAAAAATTGGAGTTTGGATAGAATGAAAAGGAAAAGTTTTACAAAATTAGGATTCTTGCAACCCAATATTTTCCCAAAATGTTTCCTGCATAAAACAAGCGAAAATAATTTTCACGTCTTTTTATTTTGCATTCCAATTTTATTCAACAACTTCATCTATAATTGCATACGAACAACAACTTCATCGTTTTTTTAACTAGGTTTCAAAGAATTGCGGACCAACAACTTTATTAGTGGAAGAGTTTGAATTAACTTGACTTCTATTCCTATTGTTGTTTTCCATCGTACATGGCAATCAAATAATTAGTAGTTTGCAAGGTCTGAATTAATTGAAAATTCTACCATTTTTTATATAAATCACTACTAATTAATTCTTTATTATTCTACTATTTATTTTATTATTTAACTATTTTTATAAAATAAGGGTAATTTAGGTATGTACTAATTTTTTTAAATACTTCCATGGTATCCAAACTATAATATGATATTTTCCTACCATTTTATTGAATAAATTTTCACGCTAACCAAATGCATGCTATAAAATCAATTTTCTTTTCATTCACTTCACTTTTCTTTTCATTTTCCATTTCTTTTCTTTTCTTGCTAGTTCCATCTAACCAAACGGAGCATAAAGAAAATTTTATTTCCACTCATAAAAAAAAAATAATTTATTTCCAGATTATCTAATGATCAAACAGCTAAAGCCAACTTGTGCAATTAGTTGGTGAGCGTCCAGTATAGAAAGGGAAAAAAACCCCTTATCACTTTACATAATACACAAGACTTATTATCCTTCTCTCCCTCCTCTCTTCCATCCAATTTTGGACAGATGAAAAATGGTGGGCCCAAAGGGGTGCCTCATCCATCCATCCTTCCTCTTTCCTTCAACTCTTCCTTGTACCAAACAACAGAGATTTGCTTCATCCCTCCTCTCTTCCCTCCTTCCCTATCATTTACCTCCTCCTACCAAACATAGTGTAAGGATTATTTTCTTGCAATGCATAAGCTTTCTTCCCACCTCCACCTCAACAACTTGAAACAGGGGGCTCACAATATCTGAAAATTTCTGAACAGATACAAATCTTATGCTCTTACTCCGTGATACTAATCTAGATGACCTAGGTAACGTCGTAACTTTCCTCCAAGAAATCATATATGTCCATCCTGAAAAAAATAATAATAAATAATAAATAAAAACATTTTACCACTTGAGCTTCATTCATCGCACTTCCTTATTTCTGCATAGCTCTTGACTCCCTTGAGCTTGAATAGTGAAGCAAACAGAAAAAGAAACAAGTTGTCTTACAGTAGTAAAGAAGACTAGAAATACTCCAATGACCGTCGCAGCCTAGATTTCTAAAGGGAAATCTGGGAAAAGCCTGAAGAACTGTTTGTAACTGATAATAAATAAAAAAATATTGATTATGACTTGGTCACAACTGATAAAGAGGATGTCCCTTTTATAAGCCAGCTACTAATGACATTACTTTTTCCTAGACTGGCTGTTAGACTACCCAAAGAGCATAAAAGACAAATACTATTCCCATGACATTTTCATACTTCCCATACCTTAATTACTATTTAATAGTCTTTGACGTAACACTTTTCAAGACACTATTGACTGCCTCAATCTTGACTAGAGATACTATTAATTATTTGCATCAAATAAATTCTATTCTGATGTTCAATTAAATCTTGGATGTTTAGGCAGTCATCTAAAACTATTACATTATTTTCTCCTTAAGCTTAGGGGCATAAATTGTTTGGTTTATATGGCAAAACTGCCCTGCCACCAAAACAACTGGTTTGGGCCCTTTGGGAGTCAATTATTCAAGAGTGGGGATGGTTCAGCAATGAAAAGTTAAAGCCTGAGCAGTGTTAGGTTGACGTTCAATTTTTATGCACTTTTTTTGTAATTAGCATAAAAGCATCACAATCAATTACATGAGATCACCTTAGTAGTCATTTAGTACCCTGAAGAAAGGGATGCCATGGAGTTTAATGGTATGTTTGGTTGGAGGGAAGGATTGAGGAGGGATAAAATAACTCCTTCATGTTTGGTTGGAGGGAAGGGAAAATAGGGAGGAAACAAGGAGGGATAAAGTATCCCTCCTTCATTTGTATTTTCCTATCCGCCCAAAATTGGGGGGAAGAGGAGAGAGAAAGAAGAATTACAACTAACAAATATATAATTTACATTTTTAACCTTTCCAAAAGTTTTCTTGTTAAGGCCTACTACATTAATGAGGGTATATTGGTAAAAATAATGTGAAAAGTCTCTTTTCCTTCCTTCCAACCAAACAAAAAAAAAAAAGTGTCACCCCATCTATCCTTTCTACTATCCATTCCATCCAACCAAACAAAAAGTGAGGGAGACCATCCCTTCCCTAGGGATGCCTCATCCATCCCTCCCCCTCTCCCTTCCATCCATTTTTTCATCCCTCCAACCAAACAGAGCAGAAGGGTTACCATGCCTGCCAAGATGGTCGTCATGCCCAACTCAGGTCGTTGCCTGATCTCTGGTTGCTGTCACATCTCCTATCCACCGTGAAGTTGTTTTCTTTTCCTGCTTTTCTCTATTTTCAAGCATTATTTTCTTAAGGCTATGTTTGGTAGGGTGGGTTTGAAGGGGAAGGAAAACATTAATTATGAGGGAAAGGGAAAGAAAGGAAAGGGAAGGATAATTTTAATTTGGTATTGTGTTTGGTTGAATAATGAAGGAAAAGAAAGGGAAGGACAATGATCATGTTTGGGAAAAGAAAGCAAAGGAAAGTATTTTTATAAATTTACTATTATACCCTTTTATATTATAAAAAATAAAATTATGGACCTCAAAATTTATAGGCATGATGGACCACCAAAAAAACAAATATATTTTTAGGGCAAACAATTTCAGCCTCCACTTCCACTCTATTTGTAGTGCTATTCTAGAAACCCTTTAATAAATGATAATCCAAATATAAAACATTCTAGAGAAGCAGAAGTTCATAACATTCTAGGGCAAATAATTTCAGCCTCCGCCTCCACTTTATTTTCGTTCTCAACTCTGAACTCTCTCTCTCTCCCCCCCTCTATCTCTCCCTGCAACTGCAAACTACAAAATCTACAAGAATCAGAAGTTCAAAACCCATATATTTCAGAGTGGAACAAGATTCTTAGTTCAAAACTACAATATCGCCGGACTTAACTTCAAAACTACAATATCGCTGGACTGAACTTCGCCGCCCACGCGCCGTCACGTGCGCATGCGAGTAGATCTAACACGTCTTTCACGCGCATACGCGCCCCTTCTTCTCCGGCTACTGCAATTTTGTTCCGGGTCGGCCATCGTTCCTTTCCTCAACGCAAAGGTTGCAATGAATTTTGGCGCCCTAAAATCAAGGGTAAATTTGGTATTACGTTGGTCTATCCTGCTCTGTCTTCCCCTTTCTATCCATTTCCTCCCATTTTTGGGAGGATTACAAAAGTTACTATTTAGCCTATTTTTATCCCTCCAAAACCCGCCATTTCCTTTCCTTTCCTTCCAACTTTCAATACCAAACACATTTTTTTATCACCCTCCATAACCTTTCTTTTCTTTTCCTCCCATTTCCACTCTACCAAACTGAACCTAACCCTCTCTGCATCAGAACTCTCAACTGTTTCGAACTTACTTTCTAGGTTCCTCTTTGAGGATTCCAAACCAGCACATATTTTGTTAGTTTGTTTAGTTTGGTGTATACCTCAGCTTTTGACAGTAAAATCCATTAGATATTGAAGTGTCATCTTTGCACATTCATGGTATATCCAAAAAGTTCCATACGAGTGAGGCAGGGAAAGAGTCAGGAACACATTTGCTAAATAGCTGGCGGGAAAAGTATATGTGATCATTTCCAGTTCAAGGCGGGATCAGGTTGAAGTTCTTCACTAGTTAAGGATGCCTGTCCAAGCCAGCCCTATTATCATGCCTGTCCAAGCTGCAAACTACACCTCTTACATCTAAATTAAACCAGCTTGGGAGGGTGGAGGTTATTGTGCTGTGGAACCTTGAAGCCATGTGATACAATGAAAAGACAAGTAAACTATAGCGTGATCAAGCACTCAACAATGTCAATGCGAAGACATAACTTCATATGACGAAATTAATTTCTAATTGCAATCCCATGACAATATATTAAGACTATCATACTCAGTCGAGTCTTGTATTAGCATCATAGAAAAAGGTAGCCACTCATATGATTATTCAGGATTGTCAAAAGATTCTACCAAACCTGAGCAAACCGTTGCTTGAAATAGTCATAAAGCATATGTGACTTCTGAGACAATATTGCCAATGGAATATCATCTCCCATGCAAAATGTAGGCTCCTTCCCCTGAGAAGCCATAGTTTCAATAACCATTTGCACATCCTCACTTGAGTAGCCATATGCCCTGTTCCCAACAAACAATAAGAATTGAGTACCTGTTAGATGGTAAATATTGCACAATTATAATTCAAACTAAACCTTTGGCCATCACAAAATATAAAAAATAAAATAAAGAACTGTTGGAACAAAAACTGTTGAATGAAATGCAGCACTCAGCCTCAACTGATACAGACACAACATGAAGTTCACTTGAAATTCTTTTTCAATTTAAAAATTTTGAAATGCAGTGCTATTGAATTTTCTCACGTTCCACCGTAAGTTGCGAGTAGGCAAACCAAACCAACATTTGAACCACTACGATATCTAAAAACATCTTTGAAGACAAGAAGACACCCATTCTTCAAGAAACCGGGGGCTGGTGCAGCGTGGCACACACTATATTCAAACGCTATCCCTATTTCTCTGTTGTCACCCCCAAATCTTTTAAGGAGAAGTGTTTTATTTTTAAGCAAGGATCACTGCTTGGTGTAAAGGTAAAAGTTGAAGCTGATAAACATGAGATGAAAGTTTAAGTCTGAAATGATCCAAAAGTCTTACTGTTGGCATCTTAATATTGCTTCATTGTCCATAACAGTCGCAGCAAGAAACTTCGCAGGCTTCACTGATCGCATGTTTTCATTCAACCACTTCCCATATGGTTTTGATAAGGCAACTCGTTTTTTCACCTCTGTATTCTCATAAACCTGCACGTTGAATTATTTAAAATATAAGTTGTAAAAAAAAAAAACTTCCAAAGGAACAAAACCTTGAAAACAAGTGCAGCCTTCGAGTAATAAAGATTTGCTAAAGAAACAAAGAAAAAGTACAATATATCATAACCTCCATATCTCAGGAAGCTACAATTCAAAATACATGCCATTAATAATAATTATAGAACATACATAAACAATCACCTTTTGTGAATTTTTTATTCACTCGAAGTTCCTTAATTTTATTATTTAAACCCGTATGAGAACACAAGGGTTGTTGCATGGATATGGCCTTAGGACCAGACCATCAGGCCATATTACATCTCAAATCCTCTTCTTTAATGAAATCTTAACTTATCAATATATATACATATATATATATATATAAGTATATATCTTATTCTTTAAGAAATGCACCAAGTAAATTAAACCTTGTATCATTTTTAAAATTATTATTACTACTACTCAGTATCTAAGTATGTCAAACACTTGTTCAGTAGTACAGTATTCGGTAAATGTTTGCAACAGTTGAATGTAAAAGGCTCTTGTAAGCCACAAATTCTCATTAACTATGCTCCTAATTTATATTACAGAGTGAATATTATATAAGTTGAAAGTAAATCAAATCACCGATCCTATGCCTTTAATAGGCACATGATGAATATCATATAAAATCAAATTAAGATCAAATCAAATCCAATCCCTAAAGATAATCCCAATACATATCGAGTCCCTATATTTTCTCCCAATACTCCCTCAAGCTGGATCGAAGATATCTACTAAGCCCAGCTTGCCAATACCAAAGTAGAAGAAACGAAGGAAGTATGGATAACTCCACATCATACTTTCTCCTTGAGAAAGTGAATCAACCTCAATATGCTTTGTCCTCTCATGAAGAACTGAGTCAGATGCGAGCATAATAGCATATCGTTTATCACAAACGAGAGTTGATGAACTAAAAACAGGAATCCTAGCTCAGTCAATAGGGAATGAAGCCAGAGGGTCTCACAAGTGCCCTGAGCCATGACACAGTAATCTGCCTCTGCAGAAGAACGAGACACAACGCTTTGTTTCTTACTTTTCCAAGAAATTAAATTGCCCCCGTGAAAAGTACAGAAACCTGAAGTAGAGCGATGGTCAGTCAGAGATCCAGCATAATCAGCATCGGTGTAGCACAAGATAAGAGGTAGAGCGACGGTGTTTCTTACTTTTCCAAGAAATTAAATTGCCCCCGTGAAAAGTACAGAAACCTAAAGTAGAACGACGGTCAGTCAGAGATCCAGCACAATCAGCATCGGTGTAGCACGAGATAAGAGGTTGTGGTGTGGATTTGTAGAATAAACCAAGTCCTGGGCAAGACTTGAGGTAACAAAGAATTCGGTATACTGCATCTAAGTGTAAGGTCTGAGAAACATGCATGAACTGACTCACAACACTAACCGCAAATGTGAGATCAGGTCTAGTGTTTGTTAGATAAATTAAGTGGCCAACAAGGCTCTGATAAGCAGACAGATCTGGAAGAAGGTCTCCAGACTCGGCATGAAGCCGATGCGTCAAATCCATAGGAAAGGAAGCAGGATGACACCCAAGCATACCAGTGTCCTATAGGAGGTCTAATGCATACTTCCGCTGAGAGAGTAAAATACCATGCCTAGAGCGTGCAACATCAATACCAAGAAAAAAATCGAAGAGAACCTAAGTCTTTAACCTCAAAAGCCTGCACAAGGTCTATTTTTACTTTGTCAATGAAAGATGCATCATTTCCTATGACGATTATGTCATCAACATATACTAAGATAATGGCACGATGATTTTCTAGACTACGACGGAAGAAGCATGTGTCATCTGAGTGACATCGAGTGAAACCCATAGAAATAACTACGTCACTGAATCGGTGAAACCATTCCCGAGGTGACTGCTTCAGTCCATATAAGGATTTTAGAAGGCGACACACTTTCCCAGAATACTCCCCTTAAAGCCGTAAACCAGGAGAAGGATCCATAAAAATTTCTTCTGTCAAATCCCCATGAAGAAAGGATTCTTCACATCTAACTGGTGAAGAGGCCAAGAGTTGCAAGCCGCTAAGGAAATAAGAAGGCGGACAGTAGTCAGCTTGGCGACCGGAGCAAAAGTGGCATATAAGTCCTTCCCCGGATTTTGTGTAAAGCCCTTCGCGACCAACCTAGCTTTATAGCGATCAACAATACCATATGGTTTATATTTGACTGTAAATACCCATTTACAGCCAACAATCCTCTCTCCTTGTGGTAAACTAACAAGCTCCCGTGTCTTATTTTTCTGCAAGGCATCCATCTCAGCAGCCATGGCTATTGTCCAATGTTGGTCTAGCAAAGCCTCAGATACAGTTCGAGGGATGGAAATAGCCGAGGTGGCAACAAGGTAGGCCCAATAATTGTGTGACAGTCCCTGATAAGAAACAAAGAGGGCAATAGGATGATTAGTCACACAATTCCTTTTACCTTTGTGGAGAGCAATAGGCAAATCAGAATCAGAAATAGGAGATGCAGGATCTACAGTAGAAGTAGGCAAGGTATGATCTGAAGTAGAATTGGGAATAGCAGGGTTAAGATTACCTGTACCACAAGAGGACAGTGGCAGGGTAGCATGAGGGGGATCTCATGGGCGATGAGTGTATATGCGTAGCTCATGCTAAGCCACATGAGGAGATGTCAAGGATAGAACTGGTGCAAGCTGAGCTAGGGGTGAGAAAGTCACTGATGGAGTAAAAGAAGACGGAACCTGCAAAAAAAGATGTGCCAAAGAAGGGAACATCTTCGAAAAAAGTGATATCAAGAGAATGATATATCCGACGAGTACTAGGCTCATAACAACGGTACCCTTTCAACATAGTCGAATAACACAGAAAAATGCAACGAATAGCTTTATCGTCAAGCTTTGTACGTGTAGGACGTCGGTCCTAAACAAAACATGTACATCCAAAAACGCGAGGAGTAATAGGGAAAAGGGTGTTGTCTGGTCGCAAAATATGTAATGGAACCTTACCCCTTAAAGTTCAACTAGGGGTTCGATTAATCAAAAAAGCTGCAGTGAGAACTGCCATATACTAATAAGATTGAGGAACCTGCATACCACATAAAAGACACCGAACAACACTCATGAGATGAAGGTTTTTACGTTCCGCCACTCCATTCTGTTCCGGTGTATAAGGGCATTTCAGCTGATGAAGAATCCCCAATTGATTAAGATAAGACCGAAAATCATTAGAGATATATTCCCGCTCATTATCTGACCAGATGGTTTTAACAATAGTATTAAACTGGGTTTTAATCATTTGTAAGAAAGAAACAAATGTAGACAATATCAAAACGTGACTTAAGTAACTAAACCCAAGTACAACGAGAGTAATCGTCAATAAACGTCACATAATATTTATGACCAGAGTAAGAAGTAACAGGGGATTGTCCCATACATTAGAATGAATAAGATCAAAAACAGGGGATTAGCATGTCCTAGACGAGCATGCCATAAACCAAAACTGATGGGTTCTACAAGTTGTTCGTAATGCAGGAAACAAAGATAACAAATGCTAAAAATTAGCATGTCCTAGATGAGCATGCCATAAATCAAGAGTTTGGTTCATAAAAGAATGTCTTCCATAGTCCGGTAATACGGAAGCATGTGCAAGAATTGGAGATGTCCCGAAGATGTACAGCCGGTCCCTCTCATACCCCCCGCCAAAAATCCTCTTCGTAGCTAGGTTCTGAAAAACACAGTATCAGGAAAGAAAGTCACTGGGCAAGCCAAGGAACGAGTTAAGTGGCTAACAGATAATAAGTTAAGGGAAAGTGGTAGAGAACAGTGGCAGCAGCCTTTTAAAGTATATAAAAGGCGTGACAAGGAGGGTTCTAATGCTCAAACCTTAATTTGGCACATGCTAGACGATGGGGGGTCCACTTGGAGTCTTGCATAATTAGGGGGTTTGGTCAAATTTCATTATTTTGGTAATTACATCAATTAAGTTATTTGTTACTTTATCAAGTTAGAGTCAACTTTTGATTACCTTGTTTTGGTAAATTGCATAATTAGATTAGATTGCATCAATTAAGTTATTTGTCACTTTATTAAGTTAGAGTAAACTTTTGCAGCGAATGATTGAATAAAATTATCCTTTGAGATTTCTTTGTGAGTGATTCACAAATTCTGAGGGTGTGAGGCCTTCTCTAGGTGTGATGCCTAGGTCCTATTAGAGTGATTCCAATAGGCTTTTCTTTGTTAATTACAATCCTTCTTTTCTACTAACAGCCCCTGAATCTTAGCTTTGTTTCTGAATTTCCAGCCCATAACTCTTATTTACTTTCTTCTATTTGAGCCTGTCCTTTGTCCTACATCAGTTTTGGTATCAGAGCCTGAGTTAACATCATGTCGACACAATCAGGAAATGAAAGATCGGGTATTAATCAACAAGATGAGTTGATATCCAAGCTTGTAGAGCAGCTCAATGGGTTGAATGTCCGATTCAATGAGTTAGAAGCTCGAATGTGTCAACCTATTAACAATTTTGCTCCTGCTTCATCCAGTACAAATGATGGCAGTGGGCGAGAGCAACAACATCCTTTAAATGTGCAGCAAAGGCAGAATGTGAGGGCTGATCCACCACCACACCCAATGTTCAAGTTTCCGAGAAATCTGCTGGGAATGAATTATCATGTGCCACATGATAACGCTGGGGATATCACAAAGAAAATTAAAATGGAGGTGCCAGATTTTGAAGGTAAGTTTGAACCTACTGTATTTTCGGATTGGCTTGCTTCGATTGAAGAATATTTTGACTGGTATGATATGAGTGATGATCGTAGAGTGAGATTTGCTAGAATGAAGCTTCTGGGGCCTAGCAAAAATATGGTGGACTGGTGTTGAAGGAGATATTAGGAGGCTGGGACAACCACCAATCAGCACATGGCAAGAAGGCAAAGCTTCGAGAGAAATACATGCCGACCAATAACCATGACAAA